GAGGTGTTTGGACGGGCGTGCTACAAACCGTCTGATAACACCGCCGCCGCGCTATTCAGTCCCAAGAGCTCGGACTCTGTGCTTGATCTAGGCGGCCACATCGGCACGGCTACGCGATGGTTTCTTGAACAGGGAATCTCCACATCGGCACGGCTACGCGATGGTTTCTTGAACAGGGAATCTCCGAATCTCCGGTGCCGACGTGCCGACAACAGCCTGCTTGTGCAGACTTCTGCGTCAACGCGGACTCCCAGCAACGTCAACGTCTCTTGAAAAAACCCGCCGACACGTCCTTTACCAGCTGGCTCAATCTTTCGCAGATTACCAAGGCTCGAAGACAGGATCTTGGAAATCGCCTTGTTGTACGTCTTCACCTTCCCGCAGCAGCTGAAACACTTGTCAGGATGCTGTGAATACTTCAACCAGCACAGAGACAGCCCTTGCTTCAAGCGCTGGAAGCTTACGCAGCTCTTGCTGTTGACGTCCGGTGCTGGACTACGGGTTATACGAGGCGCGTCCCGCGAGGATCTTTGCACTAGCAATACTCGTATCCACTTCGGATGCCCAGGCAAGAGCTTGGAGAAGGTCAGCTGCACAGTGGCAGAAGAATTGCCGGAGTCTTCATCCTTTTCTACACCGGCGCAGGCGGAAGCCGCCGCTCCGAAGAAGTGCAGGGTTACGATTGGGTATGAGATGGAGCAGGTGCGGAAGTAACAGTATGTCAAAAAAAGAGCACGGTCACAGTCTGCTGACAAGAGAGGGAGATCGAAAAAGCTTTGTGGATGTTACCAATAATTCGGCCAGTACCCCAACAACACTTCGCTTTTGCGGCAGTTCACGGAGCAGGCGGCTGCCATTCTCACAGCTGCTATGTATGTACAGCTGATCCTGAACCTTGTGCCTACAACTATCTCACACATTCACAGCTCTATACTCAGTCTATACTCTATAGTTGCGGCTATAGATCATACAACTAGAGTTGCTGGGATGCCACAGGTACTAGCATGCTTGGAGGGATTACTGTCGTAAGTCCGCAATGCCATGACCCTGCTGATTGGAACGCGTACATGACTGTCATTACTCTGCCCGAACGCAGGCTGCAATCACCTGAGTTCTATGCCACCACCAGAGATAGTTGCCTGCAGAGACACGTCATGCCAAACCATAGTAGCTTGAAGCATGGTTGTCGCGGACTGTACTGCGCCACATGTTATTGCGAAGTCTGGTTTGCAGATGCTGTAGGAACATATTTTGCAAAACAACGTGATGTGGAGTCAGGCAGTGGGCTGCATGGCATGTTTACTGCACTTAGAATGGCATTTGCAAGAACTCCCACCCAGAGTTGCGAAGGTATTCACGCCTGCTCCTGCGATCCCCACAGAGGGTCCACCGCCCAGACCTCAGAGTTGGGAAGACTTGTTGGTTGCTGTATCGGGCTTGAGTCGTCAAAGATAAGGAAGTATCGAGATTGTCGGCTCGTTCGTTTCGATTGTTATCGCCGAAGGCCCGAAGGTATCAGCCACGGAAGTGTTCTCAGGCTAAAATATAAGGCGTCGAATTCCGATGTCCTCCAAGCCCGAACCGAACCCGGCTCGGCGTCTCTGCGGCATCATGCCGTGCAGTTCTACGGAGAGCTGCGGGGCGCAGCTGAAACCCTAAACCTCTGAAGCCTGAACCCCGTAACATCTAAAGCCCGAGAGGCTGGAGTTTTAGCATCATGTTTCGTACTGGGAAGAACCGGTGGCTTGTAAACGGTTAACATAGTTATCGAGGTTAGCTATCCATTTATAAACCAATGTAATTGGTTAAGTGGGTTTAACTTAAGGGGTTAGCAAAGCTTAGAAAAGGGGGTTAGTCTAAGTAACATAAGGGGTCCCTTACACGTCTAAAACCTTCCAAACCCTGAACATAAAAGCCTCAAGCCCTAAACCCAAACCCTGCAAAACACAAGTCTTTTTTTGCATGCCGGTCGTTCACGGTCTTCCGGCTAGAGAACAAGGCCGTAGCTTGAGAACTTCTGCATTGGAAGAAAATTCGCAGGGGTCTGCGAATTTTAGCCGCAGCCTTTTGACCCTCAAGCTGAAGCAACAAAGCCGCAGCCTTTTGACCCTCAAGCTGAAGCCTGGCCGTGGCCTTATATTTTTTCTGCTGGCCATGGCCATATAGGGAGTTTTCAGACTCCTCTCCTTCAAGCATCTGACGGTGCGTCTTCCTCGCTGTACTCTGGAGAGGGACCCTCGTTGTACTCTGGAGAGGATTGCTCGGGCACGGTGGGGAGAGCATGCTCGTCCCCGGAGTCCAAGAGATTCATGTTTTCGTACTCTCTCCATGCCCTTCTTGC